GATGTGTTGATTTTAACACCATCAAAAATTAAAACTCTAAGTCGCAAAATTGAAATAAATTCTAATCAAAATGACAGCAAAATATTAAATTAAATATTGAGAACATTTTCTGGTGTAACTTATTGGCAACGCGGCAGATTGCACGACCTTCAGCGTCACCGTCGGTAGGCAATGTGGTGATGACCTTCACTCTTCAGCCTGGCTTTTATCCCTTTCTAACACGTGTTGATATATGCTTCTCGCGCTTCTCTCTCGTACAGATTGGACTGAAGCCGCCACACAAATTTGGTTTTTCCTGTATAACAACTGCTAATGCATAAAAAGGTACAAGAAGTAACCTCTGCATCAGTATAAATCCATTTTTGGATGTAAATAAAATAAATAATTACATTAAAGTAGCGAAAATATTAGATTTAGTTTTAATAAATAAAATATAGATCCTATTCAGAGCTTTCTAGATTCTATAAGTCAAACTATCATTTAAATGTTTGTATATCTCTGGGACTTCTGCCAGGAACATAAGGTGGCTATGTTACTTTTTTCCTAACAGCAAAAGCTTATTGTGAGCAAAAAGCAGTTTATTTTCATGTGTTTTACTTAAATCTCCGTACTTCTCTTAGTACTTTTGCCAGCCTGATGGCATACTGAAATATCCGCATAAAAATATTGTAACTGCATTCGCGCAGTATATTACAAGCAACGTCATTGTAACACACCTTATTCGATATCAGGAGAAATATTTTTTTCGTGCAAGAATATTGAACATTAACCTATAACCCATAAGAGTATATAAAAAACCAAGTCACACCATCCGAAACGTGGTCATTTGGCTGTCATATTTGAAAACTTGTGCGCTAGGTAGCCACCAGTGTACCGCCAGTTCATTTTGCGCCTACTGTAAATGAGCATGAAGTGAATGTGAGCTAGTTGAAAGGTGATATTTTATAGGAAATCCTACATAATGTCATAAAAAATCGATATGTCATAAAAATCGATATAATGTCACTTTTTATGTTACGTATTACGGGTGCCAGAGGCTGATAAAATTTAGTATTTAGAAAAAGATCATGGGATCCGAATCATGTTCATAAGGCCGCCATATTTAAAAATGGCTACCAATGGCGTAAAATGCTTCTTTGAGCGTTTCCATCTTTGAAAAATTTGGAATGCTTAGTTGGTTTTTGTGAGAGTATTAGCTAAAACTGCCTTCAAGACTGGTAAATGCCAAACTTTTAACTGTTCGAAATTAGTTTTATCTTTACGGGAAAAATAAGCTTGAACATATTAAAATAGTCTGAAAAGATATGTTGAATAACTTGGCCGAGACTTTTAAATATGGTGGCCAACCGACCGCGTTAGATGTGATTGTTTATATACTCCTATAGATTCTTAATAATGCCCGTGGTATTCAAACTGAAGGGACATATGAAGGCACACGTGACCTCAGTAGTTTCTCCCAGACTATAGAGCAATGGAAAACACTGCCTTTTGGAATTCCCCTACTGTAACGGATGAAATTGCTGCTGGCTGATTTAGAACTACTCCTTATTTGTTTTCGTTTCATTTCCGTTGAATTTTAGTCTCTCTTTAAATTGATTCATATCTAGGCCAGTCTCAGAGTTCATACTAAAGTGGCGTAGCCAGCACTACTTCCTTGAGGGTTAATGCTTGTACCTCCCCCGTATCTACCTTAAAAAAATGATCTAACATGTTTATCAGCATAGATATATAATAAGTCAAACTTTTGATGTGAACATTCTAAATCAGGGTTGGTCCAATTTTCGGAAAGGGATTATGTTATAGATATTTGGCCTAACATATCATGAAATAGTACATTACATATGCTGAGAAGTAAGCCATTAAATTATATAGGGTTTTCAATTTTTTCTAGGAACAGTGCATTTGGAATTGTTGACCAGCCTGTGAACCAGGTTGAACTGATACAATATAATGACAAAATGTACTACTCTACCTGTCATGATAGCATATACGCAGTCTTTTTAGATACAAAACACAATAGCTCAACAACTAATAACCAAAACCCATTTTATTTTGAGGAATAGTAAATAATGTATCTTTAGCCACCCTATATTCACATTCAGAGAATTTAAGAAATGATTGAATACCTAATTCTCAAAACTAAGGATAATAAACAATTTTTGACACAACATTCACTACTCCACCAGATAACAGGTGTGCAGCCTGTCAAACTTTAGTGTTTTTTTTACTAATAAGATAACCTATAACTTAAGAAATACTAAATCATAGCATGACTTATCAACAATCTTTTGAAAGGAAAAAGTGCATTCCATTAAAAAATCAACTTTGATACGTGGGTAAAAATTGGTACACCGTATATAATTGTGTAGTATTTGATACATATATATGTATAATAATCCACAAATAGTTTTCTCTAAAAATTTTCTGCTCAGAGGCAATATTTCGTCGTCCCATAAATTGGACACCCAGTATATTACCAAAAAAAAAAAAGAAAAGAAATAACCTAAAAAATAGTACATTAGGAAGATGTAGACAATAGAAAGGTAGAGTCAGTAGAAAATTAGACACAATAACATATACGACTACTTTTATATCTATACTAAGTGACATATAAATCCGAACACCCAGTTTAAATGGTTTTATTTTAGTAAAATTTTGTATAAGTACTCAATGAAGCATAATAAGTAAATGATAAAAATTTCAAAATGATTGCACTGGTTTAAAGCCCTTTGACCTTTAATAATGTGTGGATGCACCCTGATGTGCTACGCATTTTCCAACGCGCCTAGGCATGCTTCTGATCAGGTGGTCAATGTCCTCCTGTGGTATCTCATTCCAGGCAACCACCAACTCCTCTCGAAGTGCTTCTAGAGTCTGAGGAGGACGTTGCAAATTGAGCAATCTCCTACCCATCATATCCCAGACGTGCTCAATTGGGGATAATTCGGGAGATCTTGATGGCCATGGTAACAATGTGACATCATTATGTTGAAAGAAGTCTATTGTGACTCTTGGAATATGTGGTCGGGCATTATCTTGTTGGAAAGTTGGATTTGCCAGGGTGTCAAGATAGGGTAAAAGATGGGGTTCTAGAACTTCGTGGATATAACGCTGCACTTTCATGTTACCTCTGATGAAGATTAAAGTTGACCTGGAACCATAAGCTATAGCACCCCAAACCATAACTCCAACAGTGTGATGAACATGTCTTTCAACAAAAAACTGTAGATTCCTCCTTTCACCACGTCGCCTTCTAACCCTGGCACGACCATCGTGCATGCCTAAACAAAATCGAGACTCATCACTAAAGACAATACTGTTCCATTCCTGATCCCGGAGTGACCGTTGTCTGCACCACTCAAGGCGATTACGTCGGTGTTCTCGAGTTAAAGGGAGGACCCAGTGTGGCCGGTATGAAAACAATCCAAAACTTCTCATTCGTCGGTAAACACTTCGCATGCCAATAGGTCTTCCGTGTTCTGCAAACCATTCATTTGCAATGGACCTGGTAGTGGAGAAACGGTCCCTTAAGGCCAATAATCGTAGGCGGCGATCTTCACGGTCTGTTGTTCTACGGCGGCGTCCAGTGCCCCTTGCTCTTTGCGTACGGCCTTCTCGAAGCCTAACTGCAATTGCCCGAAAAGAAAGTCTAGCTTCCCGAAGTCCCACTATACGGCCCCTATCAAACTCACTAAGTTGACGAAATCGTACAGGTCTCCGTACTCTAGGCATCGTAACTGATCGTAAAGGATGTCAAGAACGAAAATCCGCCAACGTTGATTCTTTACTGCGGCTGAAATATTCATTTTTAGAGCGTTAGTGAATTAAAAAAAAGCAGTATAAAAACCGGAATGTCCAACTGATAAGGCTGAAAATTTTTTCACTTGTTATTTACAGTAAGATAAATACATTCACCAACTTTTATTAAAATAAAACCATTTAAACTGGGTGTTCCGATTTATATGTCACTTAGTATATTAATGTTATGACCCAGCAAACTAGATTCATAATTTGGACGACGCCAGTGTCATTCAGATCATGACTGAATAAAAGTGAAATGAGGCTCTCTAGTTGCGCATTTGCTATTCTTTTATAAAAATATGGCACTAGTCAATGATGTAAAATTCTGAATAAATTCTTATCAAAGAATTACCGTCAAAGATAATTGGATCGCTTTACGTGTTAGATCCTAATTTCGCGTCACGTGTCGTAAACAGCCTTTTACGCTCTAGATACATAAATAACTATTACGTGTCATTGGCAGATCTAAGGTTTGCGGGACCTAAAGAAAAAACTTGGTAGGGACCCCACAAAAGAACGAAATTGGGTCCTTATTATGCTGCTGCTATTAATAAGGAGAATGCCATTATTTTCAACACAAAAATGTTCGCATCCCATGGTCCGTCGTACAGTTTGTCATCTTAAATCCGCCCCTGTCCTTGGTATTAATCCTGTAACGCCCCTTGAGGCAGTGAACCTTTTCCAAGAATGAGATATGCTTCCTGCAAATCTCAAAAGTATCCTGGCGACTGAATGAAACCATAGATGTAGATGGATAATGTACCAACCTTTCAATCTGAAAATACCATCGAGATGGCCGAAACGTTACTAAATTTTTGATAAGATAGACAGCGAGACAACTGGATTAGCTTCAAGTGTTTCATTGTGCTGCCTGCATTGTAACTAGCTTTTACAGTAATTCTACATAACGTATAGTCTCAATCAAAATAATGAAAGGACTTTACCACTATTGCAATTTTATAATTCAGCTGTGCTTTCTATTCACAAACCGTTCCAATCCGGATAATGGATAACTATGTAATTTCAATCAGGATAACAAAGAAGGTCTATTAACATTTCTGCTTCATTTATATGCCACAGACTCTAGCGTTTGATTACTATTAAACACACTGTACTTTTCAATTACCAAATAGACTATCCTGTAAGATTTGGGAGTCGTTTTGTTTCTCACTTCTCTAAGCTGGAGTATTATTTTTCAGGCATGGAGGCATCCTTGGCGAAGATCCTATCATAAAAGACGGAAAGCGCAATGGGAGACAGATCCGGACTACTGCCAATTGGTAAGAGAGATTCCACCATACGATAAAGGCAGAAGACTGCTGGATTTAATGGACATGTCCGTCTTCGATTTTCTCACGGGGAACATGGACAGGCACCACTATGAAACTTTCAAGTAAGGTCTTATCAAGTTTTCTATATATACTCAGTGGTGTCACAAGATTTTTTTATATATGGGTGCGGCAGAGAGGACGGACGTTTTTGGGATGGGTAGTACTCTCCGCCTCCGTCTACGAGAGAGGTGGGGAGCGTGCCGTTTGACTCGTGAGATCCTAGCATTATTTTACCAGTTGTCGTTATGTAGCCTTGGAAGGTGGAGCACCGCGCTTTCGCCTACGATTGTTTCGTCCGAAATAATGAGTCAGTCATCGTCGTACAGCGTGAGTTTCGTCGCCACGTCAACATTCATCGGAATAGAGCTGTTCCCTCTCGAAACACCATCCTTCGTTGGGTTGAATCACTTCGAAGGCGTGGTGAACTGATCAACAGAAGACCAAGAGGAGCGCCGCGAACAGTTCGAACTCCTGAAAATGTTGAACGCGTTCGACAGGTCTTTCTTCGCCTTAGTGATCGTTCGGTAAGGCGAAATTAATTATTTTATGAGTTTTTAAAACCGTCCATCCTCTATGCTGCACCCTGTATCATATATGCTTATAAATACTTTCGTGTATTAAATATCCGAACACTGAAAAATTTGGCAACCACGCATTTTCTGATAAAAGGTTCTTAGGTCCGTATCGTCAGTCGTCCCTACAATTGTAGGGCACCTTTATGGCCTCCTTGATTGTCATAGTTTTCTACATCCCCGTCTCAGAAGTCTATTTTGAGGTTGTCACAAACATCTGTTTGCATCAAATTGTGCTTGCTTTTGAGTTATATCATGTTTTATCGATGAATATCGATAAATTGTGCCATTTTTGAATAAAATCAAAGTAAAGAATTTGTCACATGATAGGAAATGTACTGCGAATTTAAATGAATTGTTGAATAATTAGCCATGGCAACGAAAAAACTAATTTAATAATTGGTAAATATTACACAAATACATATTTCTATTACAACATAGCTAACATTTAGGCAAAAACAAATGAAATAAATTTTTTTCAACGAACGAAATTGAAATTTGTTTAAAAAAGAAGACACACAGTTGGATATACTTAAAACTAGCCTTGCAATAAGTGTTCAAATAAATTCCCATTTTGTTGGATACAGAGTCTCGATCGACGAACTAATGATTGCGTAGCCCGAAAAGTGGAAAACCCTTTTCTTCTTATTTCATTTGCAGCTTGATGGATTCTTTGAAGTAAATCTTCTTGAGTATTTACTTCAGTCGAGCAAACTAGGTCTTTTAATGACCCCCAGAAATAGAAATCCAATGGATTTAGGTCACGTGAACGTGGCGGCCACGCTATAGGACCTCCTCGGCCTAACCACCTGCCTGTAAAATTGACATTCAACCAATTTCGAACATTGCGTCCAAAATGTGCAGGGGCGCCATCATGTTGAAAAAAGATATTTTCTTGAAACTGCTGGCGCACATCCAATGGTATTATATCCATGAGCTCATTCTGAATAAAGTTCAGATACACCTCTGAATTAAGACTATTGGGAAGTATTCATACATTTTTCTTACTATTGATCGAGGTATATCCATAATTTCTGAAACCTTTCGTATGCTTATTTGCGGATTATTTTCAAACATATTTAAAGCAATATCCATACGATGATTCCCCAGTGGCCTTCCTGAGCCCTGCATGGGCTGAAAACTTCCTTTGTTTGACAAATTCCGGTGAATATCAGTAAACATTCGACGTCCAGGTCCTATGCGATTGGGAAATCTTCTTTGATATTCTCTTACGGCTGCCAATGAACTGCCATTGCAAAACTCGTACACAAAATGCATGTCAGTCAGTTCTCTGTCTGTAAATCTTGGCATTTTAAATCGATTTAATAAAAATTTTGATTTCAATCTAGTAATTTTACACTGCTAACAATGTCAGCTTTACGTCAAAATAAGTCATAACAAATCAAAACAAGTTTTGTTTGCAGTCATGGCTAACTATGTATAATCAACAATTCATTTAAATTCGCAGTACATTTCCTATCATGTGACAATTTTTTTAGTTTGATTTTATTCAAAAATGGCACAATATATCGATATTCAATAAGAGTACCTTTTTTATGTAGAAAACCCTAAATTTTCAAATTCTAAAATTGAATTTCAAAAATAGAATCACACAAAAATTTTGGGGCTAAAATAACCTGAATCCGTCCCTGTTACATACGTTTCCAAACAAAACTGTCTAAAATTCTTATTATTTTTAAATCCAGCATAAAAAACTAGTCTAGAATACCAAATTTTATGTCTTTATCTCAACACGTTCGGAAATATTAAGGAAAAGCCATCTTCAGGGGAGCCTCTTTAAAAGACCGTAGCGCCCTTAGGGGACGTTTGTCGACCTATGTTTATATAAACTTTTCTTCCTATTTTAAGCTCTAGAAACCGCTGGTAGAATATTGCACAGTTTTTTCGAGACCCTGTATATTATGTTATACTTTTTAAAAGTAGATGATTGGATCTCCATTATTATTCAACCGCAATGCCCTAAACGATAAATTTCTCAACATGTTTGTATGCGTGTACATTACGATGGGATTGTACATGGACTATTCTATTTTGCAGAATATTTGGCAACAACACGTTTACTCTCCATCTGGATCAGGGTAGGGCTTTTGGAAAACCGTTCCATGATGAATTCTCTATCCTAGCTCCAGTACTACATTGTTGTCTCTTACGGCAATCTACGTTGGAGACTCTGATCAAGTAAGTTCTGAGCATTTTTTCTGTTATTATTAGGTCGTCTGGAACAAAGTTCCTCGTCTTTAAAGTTGAATAAAAATAAATATGTTCACTATTTCATTTGTTTATTTAATGCATAAACTACTAGTACTCACCATCTATTTAATAACACTGTCACCATTCTAGCAGTTTCCTGACTGCATACTCCATTTTTGAACGTTTGTATAGATGTGGCGGAGTTTTGAACAGAAAAAAACGTTTGAAATTTTCAAAAGGTTTTTGATTATTATTCTCTGTCTTGTGAATTATGAAATTTTCCAAATCCTGTTTCTCGCCCATTTTTGAGTGCCTAGTCACATTAGGGCATAGCGAATAAATTTTTACAGTGACATACTGATAATGATACTGGAGCATTTGTGCATCCTGGATTCTCAATTTGTAAATTTGTACGTATAGGAAATGTGAAAATATACACGACTGGGAAGTACCGAGTAAGTCTGCTTGACTGCACTTTTTTTAGATGCATAGATAAGACATACTCGGATAGCACCACCTGTTTTATAATAGCAAAGACAAAAAATCTAAGCTTTCAAGAATCACTTATAGATATGAAGAAAGTAAAATCATAGAAGTTTCAGAGGCTTTTGAATGTTGGAAATTTCTCCGGAGAGATAAAAAAATAAGGTGGGTTTGCTTATAGTCTTCTAACTCTTGTTAATTTCCGTTTCTCTTATTCTTTGATCCCTACTTTCGCATAAACTTCCGGTATTAAAGAACATATCAGACGTGACTTCCCAAAGCGACGTTGATTTCAGGTTGCAGTCCACTGTGAAGAAGAGGAATGTTGCTTGGGTGGGAAAAAATCATTAATTGCTATCAGTCTGTCTGTCAGTGACGGGTGTAGGATCCGTGGGGCTCGAAGCACAAGGGGGGTGCTGAAACGCCATGATTTTGAACGTTTAAATTTTAGCTACTATAGGCCTCATAAACCGTGCTCTGGATCGGTAATCTCGTTCTTTAGCTGGAAAGCGTTTGCTTTAGTTATTCAGGTTGCTGTGCGAAGGTCTTAAGTTCAATTCATCTGCACATCTGGACAACGGTTCCTTTTTCAATGTTAGTAACATACTCTCAGTTGAGAGAGATACTCGGGTGAGATTTACGGGATGATTTCTGTCAACGTCAAACTGGTAGCTACGAGGGTTGTCGCAAAAATAAAGTTCCCTAATTTTTTTCAGGCACAAGCAATTTTTTATTTGAAAAAATGAATTTGCTATAGGAAACGTTGATCTCTAAGCCATCTTTCTACATACTTTCCATTTTTATACGCATTTTTTTAGACGCGGAATCCATTTTTTCACTTCCGCCTCAAGGAAATCTGCCCGTTTCTAAACTTGGTACCTGCTTCTTGCAACTCTTCGTCAGTCTCGAACCGTTGACCGCCTAGGTGCTGTAGGGGGATGGAAAATGACTTCCCAGGCAAATCGCTCGATTAAATCCTTCGTTTCTTGTGAGGCAAAAGGATGTACATTGTCGTACAGAGTTTTCCCCTATAACTATTTTGGATTGCTCGTCTTAGCTTTTTCAGAAGCCTTGAGAATTTCAACTGCCTGTTCCCGGATCGTAGTTCGCCGATCTTCGAGCAAGATTTGCTCAATCTTCGCCATAACTTCCTTGGAGATCGACGGCCTCCCGCTTCCATGTTCATTGTGCATGTCCATGCGGCCGTCAAAGATCTCCCTTCACCCTTTGAGCATATGTTGAATGGTTTTACACGTTTCGCACCTGGAGGTGACTGCGATGAAGGGATCCATTGCGCATGGCTGTCAGGCCGGCACTGAGCGTCATCAATAGGCGATTCTTGTTGGGATTGGTGGTGGGAGAGCCAACAAACACGACGGTGTTGCCATATTTCGAATAGCATCACGCGCGGCAAAGTTCAGTCCTCGTTGCCACATTCATATAAGCATATGTATGCTACATTAACTGGAAGATGGTTAGCTTTGGTTATTGACATTAGAGTAGGTAGTTAGAGAATCAATTATTTTATGATAGAAGCATCAGTATTAAAAGTACAAGTAGTTCATTATTATTACTCACTTTTGTTCGATTACTCATCACGTGCGATCTATAAGATACTGGCAAAAGTGATTTTGCACATCATTTGTTCTTAGACAATATAGTGTAACAATCTTTTTTACAACCTCCAAGAACTTAAAGAGGTTATCTTCCTCGAGTTTTGCCTATTCAAGTTTCCAATATTTCTAATTAAAGTAAACTGGTATGCTCGCTGACATCACCGGCGGACGTGCCGGTCTGGTGGACTAGTCTGCCACTACTACAGCGTTGCCGCGGTGGGCCCGGCCGCGATTAGATATAGAAAAGGCGACGTTTGCTAGATGGACTGTAACTACCGGTATAGTAAGGAATGTCTATGGACAAATTGCATGGGCCTGTATGACTGTCGTGATCCGTTTAATTTCTCTAATGCACACGTTCGCAACTACCTTTTTCTCATAAGGTTAAACTTGTGCTGAGCTTAATCCTTTACGAACAGACGGCGTTGCGTGAGAAGTGCATCGTCAACCTACTTGACGACGTTCTCTAGCATTAACCTTTTGTCCAATTTAAGTGGTGAATTAGTTGTTTCGTAGGTATTTTAAGGTCAAAAAAGAGTGGCATTTCATTAGTAATAAAATTGATATGAAAAAAGATCATATGCCTGGTATTTACTTACTAGAAAATATATACGAGAATTGTTTCCTGACACGACCCACAGCCTTATCGAGTTTCACATTTTTACCGAATATTTTGTCCTGTTATAATTTACCCCAAACAGATTTGCTAAATTTTTCAGACTATTCCAGTACCTGGATTTCCCGAGACAATTTCCTTCCTGTGACAATGGAATTATGAGCAATAAACAAATAAGTTTCAGATCGTTCCCAAATTTCTCACGGGTATTACGTATCTTGAAAAATGACATTTTGTCGTTTTTATTGGACATTTCGTAGAGTTGTTGTGACATAACGTCGGTTTTTCTACAAGATGTTATCACAAGCTGTTGTACACCTGTTGTCAACTCATTTTGTAGCTGTACGTAATGCTTAAACGTCAGCGAACAGCGATCATAGCAAACAAACGTGGAATGAACTATTTGCACACTAAAAACTACCTAGTCTACAAGATCAGGTTTCGTCAGTTTCTTTTGACGTTTTTCAGGTTTTTAAAATAATATCCCCGCGGTTTTGTATGTTTTGCTATTTCTTGATCATTTTGGGATTTTTTTCAAATTTTGTGTAGTAAAAAATTAACGTGGGCCAAATATTTAACTTTGTTATAGTTCTTTTTTGTGTCTCATATATCAATAATCATACTCAAAGAGTATGTGTGTATTAAGGATTATTAATTTGTATGTATGGAAAATTTGTTGTCCGTCTTGATTTGATGTTCAAATGTGTTTCGTATAAAATACATGACATTTTGTATTTCTCCATTTAATCTTATGGCCTCCTAGAGAGGCCTTGCAAATAGTCGATCATATTAGCAAATATCCCCGAAATAATTGTAAAATCTGGTTTTATTGGTGCGAGTTGTTCAAGGGAGTATTTAAAACATGGACGCATAAATTGGGTACACTAATTTTTGTGGGAAAACTTTTTATTTGACAACACAGTCTGAGGAAACGTGTTTTTTGGGATTCAATCGAAAGTGTTGACAGGAACGAAAATACTTTTCATATAAGATTTTTAGGTATTTATGAGACCTAAAAAATGAGACCACACGTAAAAAGATCCCACTGATAGCAAAAATGTTATGGCCGAGAAACGACGCAAAATGCAAGTTTTGGCACTTGTCGGTAATGCGACGATAATTTCACGCAATTTCCTCTTCATCCCACAATGGCAAAGCGGGTATTTCCCAGGGATCGATTTTGGCTCCGACTCTGAAAACTTGAGATGAACGAGATTCATTATGGTTTAAATATTTCAAATTAGGTCCTTTTTTTAATTTATGTTTTGTCTTATTGACAGCTAGATGAAAGCTTGTCACATCTCTTACCGTTTGAGAGGTCCCAATGTTGAGGAGGAATTTGAAACATCCTGGGTGGTAGTCAGCAATTACCTCATTTGCATATTACGCAGACGAAACACACACTGAAAAGTAAAGTGCACGCCACCATAACTTCCTTAATCCAGAGATACTAGTAGCTCCTACAGGCAAGTATACTCTCCGAGAATTTAATCAGAGCTTTAATAGAGAGCGAGATATTAAAGCTCACTCCCAAAAGCCTCCTAATCCTGAGGTATTTATTAGATTAAAACAGCCGAACGTGGGGTAAGCTCGAAACATAAAGCTCTTATATTGTCTTCTACACATTAAGTGATTGTATAAGGAATTATATTTCCGGTAACATTTCATTACGACAAGAGTGTAACTGATGCCAGGGCATTGATGTATCCTATTATTTTATTTCTGGAGCACTATACGAGTAATGGTTGAAAGCCTGAGATGTTTACAGGTAAAATAGGTATGAAGACTGAAAATAGAACAGAATATCAGATTTACCCGACTAGCTGGATGAGAGAGACTGCTGAATAGCTCCATGACCCAGGCAAATTACCAACTCTCATTCTCCACAAATTTTCATTAATGGATACTGCATAAGGAAATTTAGTATATGTATGTCATTGTATATGTAACATTTATGTCGGCTTTATAGTCATTTAGTCTACTTTTTTTGACAGGGGAAAGCTTTCATAGCCACTCTCAGGCAAAGAAGCTCAATAGTATTGCCCTATCAGCCTCTCCTGTCCGAAGTGTGAGATTCTCCAGGAATGCGGCATACTCACTAAAACCCGTCAGTCATTCGCTACATTTTCCATGACGGTGATGTTTGCAGCATTTCGTCGTGGTTGCATAATGTGAAAAGTAGGAACCTATTTTTGGTTTCTTGGTCTACTTTTGTCCTCCTGCATCTTGCTTAGAAGCATTCGTCTCTCTATTGGTTCAATATCAACCCATTT